AAAAATGCCGGTTTACGGTTGCTCCGTGCGAAGTGTGGTGAATGTTTGGTCACTATTGGCTGTCGTGTTCCAGCTGGTGTTAGCATGTACGCTAGCCAGCTGATTCTGGACAAGATGAACGATTATGCCCAGTTCTTAGTAGAGATGGGCATCGGATAAGATTTCTTTATCTTAATCCTATCGGACTGTTAAAATTCCATATTGCAACGTAGCTACAACTGCACAAAGCTAAATAAATTTCGCTCTGAAAACTTCTCAGAGCAGAATTTATTCAGCTTTGTGAGAATAGTCGCTTGTTCACTGTCCGCGATGTAGAGCAGATAAAGTATCCGCTCGCTGATGGAGGAGCGACCGTCGGACGGATCACAGTTGTGGTATCGGCGGCACGTAATAGGAATAGCGGTTATTGCGTGCGGATTGGCGAATTTCTCGCCCACAATGGTCTCCATTTTATGACCTCCTTCAACACAATGAAATGGAGGGCTTCATCGGTCTTTTTTGTGCTATGGCTGGGACAGGATGTGCGATCCAGCAACGCCATCTTCGCCCCAGTATCCGTAGTATTAACAATTGTAAGCGTGCTGCAGAATGGTGCCATGGGCCTCGCACACGTTGATCTGGTCACGTGGGTTCAGTTAGTAAAACGGGTGTTATTCGGCTGTTCAAAGTACTTGGTAGTCGAAGAAAATTTAACTAACGCTCAACTGAACCGTGAGCTGGATGTTTGTCGACACATTTACCAAACCGTCAAGGATATTAACCGCGCATTTCGCCACACTAGGTTATTTTTGACCTCCGTTTTGTATATCTTCGCTGTCGCCTTTTTTCGGAATTAATTTATTATTCCCGTAATCAAGAGGCATCCACACAGGTTGATCGCACCGCCACCTCACGTTTGCATCGCTGTTGTGGTCTGTGATCCTAGCCCTGCTGATGATCAACCTTAGCAGTCGATTGCAGTTACTGACTGCTTAGGTTTACCATCAGCGTGGCCGATTTCGGATCAGATTGGATTTCGAAACAATATCCGAGACAACACGAAGGACTTTTTCCTATTTAGAGAAATAAAAAAAATCCGCTTTTGCTAGTTACGGCAAGAACTGGACAATGTATACCTGATGGAAAACTGAAGTTGCTTTTCTACTCGTATTTTGCAGCTGAACCGAATGCATGCTCGCTCTCGCGTTAGCGCTTAACAGCTAAATAAACTAGTGAATGTTAACGCGTACAAAAGTTTATAAATTTGAGGATGCACATTTCTCCACCAAAGTACATTGTTTGAACGACATGGACCATGTCGTTCAAACAGTGCATCGTCGTATGGTTTGCCTGTCATTTGCTGGTGTTTCGACTACGGATTTGACCGAAAGTTACTGCACCGGTGTCTGGTACGTTACGCTTGTACGTTAGACTGATTGACAGACAATTATTGCGAAGGGTAATTCGCCCTGGTTTTAACTATTGCGGAAATAGTAAAAGTGGATTTCGTGCGTGCATTCACTGCACTGCTATCAAGAACTTGTAATTTTTGTAATTAAGTCTGATTTGAAACCGATCGCATTCGGAAAACGTAAACAGCAAAAAGTGAATACGGAGCGGGTTCGGGTTTTTCAAAAAATTCCGGCAATTAGCATAAGTAGCAGAAGAAAAAACCTCAAATTTGATTGTTGTACAGATTTTCCTTCTGTACGTGTACCGCCTTAATGCAGTCTGATGCGTAAGTCGTTAGGGAGTTTGTGTGTGCCCTGTTGTTCGGTCAATTCCGCTAACATACACTGGCGGCATCCGTTAAACACCAGCGCCGACAGTTTTGAACAGACCACCTGCACGGTTGATATTGGATTGAATTTCTCTCGTCAACCGGCGCGCGCGCAATAACGTCAGTGCACGCATCGCAACACGCATCCACAGCCGGCAATACTGGTCCTCGTTAATGGATGTCAGCAGCTTTTGTGGGCTTTAGATTGCGTAATTGACTGCGCAGAATTTTATTCAATAAAATTTTCTGCTGATTTTATTTTGCCAATCAGCTAAAAATACTTTTCCATTCCCATAAGAACGAGAACTCTTTGCGAATAAACCTAATTAATTTGTTTATGGATAAATAGCGTACAATACTTAAAGTGCCTAACTGACGAATTCTGGCGTAAAATTTGCTAGCAAAGTTAGGGTAGCACGACAACTCTATGACCTTCATTTCGGTGACCGACAATTTGATGACCGACTTGTTGCTGACTACCACAACTTGCTGACCGACAAATCGCTGACCGAAAGTACGATTTTTTTACAAACTGGCTGACCGACATCTTGCTGAAACTAATTTGCTGAACGACAGCTTACTTGTCGGTCAGCGAAATGTCGGTAATCGACAACTCGCTGACCGACAACTTGTAGAAGACGAAAACTTGCTGACTGACAATTTGCTGACCAGTTCAACGCACATCAGCGATATTTACGCGAAAACTAGAATCTTCGTTGGTTTCATAAAAAGGAAGCAATACAATGACAGTTATGACTGAAATATAACTTTTTGCCATTTATTACGCCGTATTAAGTTCAAGAGTACGTTATTGTCTCAGCCAATATTAATTATTTATTAATAATTGTTAAAAATGTTTTAATAATTACACCGGTTTATTAGGTTTCTCAGGTTTCTTAGGTTTCTTAGCTTTCTTAGGTTTCTTTGGTTTCTTAGGTTTCTTAGGTTTCTTAGGCTTTAGTTTTTTCAGGTTTCTTGGGTTTCTTAGGTTTCTTAGTTTTCTTCTTGTCCATAAATGATTATTTTATGAAATTCACTCGTACGCGCTCGCAGAAAAAAAGAAGAAATAAACGACTTGAATTGTCAGATTGCTGCATAAGCAGCAGCTGTTAATAGCGGGAGAAGCGTTTGCGGTATCCGATCATGTTCATTCAAATTCAGGGTACCGTTGAGCGTTGAGACTTGAGAGAGCGGAAATGTTTAATGAACTTTTGTTTCTTTAAATATTCTTAAAACATGTTTAGGTGATGTTTTGAAATAAAAACGCGTGATTAAAAAATTGAGTTTTACAAGGATTTGATGGGTAACAGAATAAATTTGTTGTCAGCGAGTTGTCGGTATTTTCATAAAACGTCCGTCAGTAAAATGTCGGTTAACAATTTAGAAAATAAGCAAATTGTCGGGAAAACATTTTGTCAGTCAGCCAAATGTCGTCAGCAAATCGTCGGTGTCAGCGACCTGTCGTTCAGCAAAATGTCGTTCAGCGATTTTTTGTTTCAACAAACTGTCGGACCAACATTTTGTCGGTCAGCAAATAGTCGTCAGGAAGTTGTCGGTCTGCAAGATGACCGTCAGCGAGTTGTCGGTGTGCCCAAAGTTAGCGCCGCAAACATTGTCCTTTCGGTTCTGGATAGTAATAATACGTAGCTTTAGACGATCGAACAAACAACCAAAACCGTTAGTCGTGGTCGTTGAATGTGTAGTTAGCGTTTTAAAATGGCTGCAGCATTTCCAGTTTTCCATTCATACTTTTAAGTAAGGTTGGGCATTCCAAGGGAAGCGTCCCTTTGGAACGGATTTTGGATTGGACCACGGATTCCAAAATTTGAAATCCAAGATATTCCATGGATTCCATGAAATGCGTTCCGATCCGCGGAAATGCAATAAATTAATGGAACCATAATTAAGCATTATAGTCCTTGCTCCAAAATAGCGTAACGATCAGCAATCTTAGGCGTAAGCGTTTAATCTTTATGTATGCCAGTATGAAAGTTTTTGCGCGGCCTGAGCAGTGGGCACTATTAATTAAAATTAATTACAAAATCAATTAAAAATTAAATTAAATTAATTACAAAATTAGTTACAATTAATTAAAAATTGAAGTTATAAAGGTCACCTGACCGTCACACTAAACCTTCGGAATTTTCATAGCCTAAAAGTATAACCACTATGTAAGAAACAAACTTGAGATCCCAGAGCCAGGTTAAGCAAGGTTTATTTTGTAGTTTTTTACGCGAATTCGATAAAATTAATGGAGAAAGCTTTTAAAAGGCTTGTTTTTGCTAATTCCAACGATGAAAACAATGCCAAAAATTTCACGTGGATTCCGCAAAATCCGCATTCCATTCCAACGGCCTTTTGGAATATGCGGATTCCGTGGAATTGGATGGGAACTGGAATGCCTACCCTTACTTGTAAGTACTTCAACTTTTCTCTTCAGCGGATCATTTAACCTTACATATTGAAGTTTGAACAACCGATTACCCTCGCATTCATATTCAACTGTATTAAATAGTCGTAATTTTTCTCCAACTGTTGTACATAAGGCTGCTGCAAAATATAAGCTGTTGCAAACATCAAAGACTGACCTCACAATGAAAACAAATTCTTTTGGCGAAAAACTCTGAAAAAGCCGCTCAAATGCACGATATGGGAGGTGAGATCAGCAGCTTGCCGTGCGAAAGTATGTGAGATAAGGCCTTCAGGTCTACAGAGTAACATATTCACGTGTAAAGGACCAAAGGTAAGATGCAGCGGTGACTGTTAAATAAAAAATTTTGAAAAAATTTTGTACAATCAGGAAATTTGACTACAATCCGTTGTTCCAAATGTACCATGAACATGAGCCGTTTTGAGAAAAGTTGAAGCCTTTTTACAAAAATCTCTTCGCCGTTGGCTAGCTCAAAATTGGACCAAGACCACAGAGCTAAACGCTTAAAAAGAATAAATTTTTAAGGACTTGCGGCGCGTGCCGCAAGCCCTCAAAAATGTCAGAAATACCAAATATGACACCGCGATTCGGCTCAGATTTTCAAAGTTTCCGAAATCTCCCACTCTTTTGACTTTTGATTTTCATCGATAAAAATGACTACTACTCTACTTTGGTTGAAAAACAAAGAATACGGAAAGTATTCTTAACCAAGTTGCGATAGAATCGATTAACATGCATGTGACTGAAATTCGTTTGAATTTTTTCTCTTCATTCACCGTATCGCAGTCAACAAGTCACGCGCACGCCAACCGGTTTAACGTTTTTTTTTCAAGCATCATATGCGAAATTTACCGTTCGACTACAAAACATAGCTCTTCAAGCAACAAAAATCAAAATTTAAAAACGGCCTCAGTTGGGATTTAAACTGAGTATGTTTGCTCGACTTTCTTCTAAAAAGCGTATGTAAATTACATCAACGCAAAGAAAATGGATTCTTCATCGATTAGTGCACAGTGCAGAATTACTGCGTAGTGCGTAGCTAAAATTACGGTTTATACATCGGGCGAAAATTCATCTTAACATCAACTGACCGGCATGACTGTAACTGTATACATATCCATACACAGGAAAGGAACTATTCGCATGAGATCGGCGGTTAGACTGTTATTCGTTGCCGGCATTTTGTACTCATTGTGGTGCTCATTTGTAGACTTTCGTCAGTCAATCAAATCACCATACTACGTCCCGCGAAACGCACATGCACTGCCGACTTGGTTTTGGGCGTGGTCAGCATCACTGGCTTCTTCGTTGTCGTTGTGATCCTGAATGGCGTACTGCTCACCGGCATCTTAACGGGGATAACGACTTTATTTTTGACGGGTGCCGCCGCTAACGCACGCACCGGAATGCTCGGATTCGTTACGGCGGACGTTGCACGAGACGTCGCGCTCGTTGTTGGCTTGGTTGTTGTTGTTAATGGAGCGGTAGTACTCATCAGAGTGTTGCCTTGAGCCAACGATTCTAAGCAAAACAGAAACTCTTCAATCCGTAGCTAATTAATACTTTATTAATACAATTCTTACCACTTTAATTAATTAATTTTGGTTTATGGATGGATGAAGAACTTATGTGAATAAAATTGTAGATAAAGAAGACAACCAGTTTTAAAAATTATGAAAGATAATTAGACGTGGGATAAATATAAAAACAACAAAAAAATATGGCAACCAAATAAAATGTAGTAATAAGGCAATCATGATAACAAGTTCAGAATATAGGGATACATACTTATTTTTAAAATGTAAATAATTATATTAATTAATTATTGAGACATGTACATAGTATACTCATATACGAGGACATTTGGGTGCTGTGAACATACCCTGCACGATTAGGCTGCGATGAACAGCCGGCTAAATTTAAAGCCGTTTGCATTCAGACTGTGATATCAGTAGCGTTGCGAGCTACGGCTAACCGGCTGTTCATCGCAGCCTAATCGTGCAGGGTATGTTCACAGCACCCAAATGTTCTCGTAGTGGGCAAAACTAAGCGTGTTCCACGGTTCCCCTGTATTGCTGCCGTCACCCGCCTGGAGTGTGACGTTACGGCAATACATATGGTTAAATCTGGCGCGGTACATAAGCGCCATGTTTAGCCACAACGTATAACTCCAGCCGGGTGACGGCAGCAATACAGGGGAACCGTGGAACACGTTTAGTTTTGCCCCCTATATATATAATGTTATAAATAGTAACAAAATTCATAATGTATATTATGCGCATCATTTTGTTTCAAAATGTAGATAATTATTAATTAATAACTGAGACATGCATTTATTATCGCAGAGTTGCTCAACTATTTCCAACATTAACTGCCTTACTGTAGCAGCAGAAGTTTCCGGTAAAATTCGGGCACTGCAAGGAATCACTGATCTCCAACGTTCCGCACATGCTTTCCAATTGGTCGAGATTGGCGCAAAAACCCGGTTCTGCCAGCTTCGGTATAAGATCCGGCCGACAGCTGACGACGGGAATGCTGCGGACGGGAAGAACGGGTTTCATTGCCGTGACAGAGCGTGGCGGTGGAACGGTGTTCCCACCGATGGGAAGGCGTGGGATCAGAGTGGCGCCGACTGCAATATAGCACCAGCACAGAGCAATGGATGCTTTCCACGGAGTTAACGGTATCATTTTAATCCTTATGAACTAATGTCAGGCCGCGACAGCAAAACTGTGTTTAACCAACTCGTTTACCGTAATAACGCACGGCGCTGCATTAAATGCTTGTTCGCCGTATTTTTTATGTAGCCGGTTATTTTTCGAATTGCGTGTTGTGCAGTAAATATTGCCATCGACCTTGTATTTCAGTGTCTACAGACGGTCTTTCAATGGCTTAATTTGTGCCAAAGAGCAGTAAGTAATCGCGTGGCACGCTCAAGTGATGTGCGATGTGCGGACTGATTGCTTGCCTCTTTTGCCGATAATGACTGCTGCTTTCAACGTTTTATAAATTATTACTGCAACACTGCGAAATACGGAATAAACCAACTAATCGGAAACAGGTTTATTATTTCTACAATATGTATGAATTTGGACTTAGAACGCAAACTGACCATGAGTACTTAATGGATTATCAGCAGAGAGAAAAAAAGAGAGGGACAGATCATCAACGCCTTACCCTACAAAACAGCTGAACAAGCCACCATCAGCGGTCAAGGTCAAAAAGACGAAGGAATAAATAAAGAACTTTTTTTTGGTCGGAAAGAGGAATTAACTTATTAGAAAAATCAAGAAGGGAATTTTCGAGGTCAAAAAAAGAAATTTCTGCGATCAAAATAAAACAAGGCATGTTCGCGGTTTAAAACAGGTGGAAACTTTTGCGCGAAAAGTTTTCTAGTGAAGCGAGCTAGCGGTAAACAATTCAGTAACAATTACCGCATATGTACACGAACATGCGAGGATCATAATTTTCCGGATGCGTCTACTACCCACCAGCTGCGGCTAATGAGAAAAAGGCAGGAAGCAGAAAAGGGCACAGGAATACACGCTATTCAGGAGGATGTCGCTCATGCGCGCTGGTGCGAACGCTGGCAGCATAAAACTAAAAACGCTGATAGGGATAACCTGAGCGCACTGTGAGCAATATTTTGCAGCACCAGTATCATATTTTATTTACCACTGGTGGTCATTTGTTTCGCGCAATCACTGGCTCTATGTGCACTGTACAGTATAGAAGTATACATAGTGCGAACGGCATTCGGCACACAGTTCAACCAGATCTAGGCATTTATGAAAGACGACGCTGCTTGTATTGTCGCAAAGTCACACATCAGCTCCGATACACACGTGATGTTGTGATGTTAAGAGAGGTGCAAGCAGTGACACTGTAATACTGTAACCGACATTTGCATCATGTACGAGGACATTTGGGTGCTGTGAACATACCCTGCACGATTAGGCTGCGATGAACAGCCGGCTAAATTTAAAGCCGTTTGCATTCAGACTGTGATATCAGTAGCGTTGCGAGCTACGGCTAACCAGCTGTTCATCGCAGCCTAATCGTGCAGGGTATGTTCACAGCACCCAAATGTCCTCGTACGGTACTTTGGCTTCTAGTCTCGCGCACGCGATCAACACGCTGCACGCGACGACATGGTGACAAACCACTTTTGTTAACGACACACGGCACTGTGGACGCGTTCTTCATCCCTGTACTACTAAGTCTCAGCCGAACAACAGCCTTTCCAAAGGTCAATATTGCATTATACTGATGCCCGACACATTCAAATGACAATATTTATTGAAATATTACTTTACTGTACTACAACCTGGTCACGGCAAGTTGGCGGCAAAACATTTTATTTTTTTGGCGAATCGTGTTGCGCATTAATATCCACTATTTTTACAGTTTGCAGTGCAGTTTTTTCTTGCGCATTTTCTGAGTATAAATTTACTAGATTCCTCGTTGCGATGTCGCGGAAAACGCCTATCGAAGCGATGGCATCGATTGCACGAGTCAAGGCAGTGTTTGAAACGCATTTAATTCTGCCAGTAAATCAGCAATAACTTTAGGGGCTTGAAATTAAGAATATTTTGAGGACAATTGAGAGACGGCTTTGTGAATCAAAATCGAAATTCATCGGCTGGACCAAACACACAAAACGGCATGGGGAGCAAAATCGTTTTTTCCCGAAAACCAAGCGCTGCTCGAAAAAAGTTAAGGTGGCCTTTCGGATTTCTCAATCTTCAATGTCGCGTGCTTATTTTGCGGAAGGCGATACCTAAGTTGAAGCCCAATGCCTTCTGGATTGTATTTTGCAAAGCATGGTCAAAAAGGACTTCCCACGGTTGCACGGTGCCCTCGCGAATGAGACCGGCCTACATTTGACCACGCCCACCGCAATACCGCTGCCCTGACCCAGGAGTGACTTTAAGCCAATGGTTTGACGTGCACTCCGAAGAACCACTGGGTGGATTACTTACTTAAGTTGAAGCCGGTGGGCTTAGACATACATGGGAATTTAAAATGAATTTTGAATAAAGGGAAGGCAGCCAAGGTAGCCAGACTGCAGCGCATTTGCAACGGGGACTGATCTGGTTTTGATATTCCCATGATTCGTAACGTGCTCAAATCTTGGATCCCATGAGTCTAAACGATGTGGGACACATTGGGCCATACCATAGAAGTTGGAAAAAGGTTAATTTTTTAACCAGTGGTTCATGGGAATTTTTTAAAGGGATGCCGCCAACTTGGCGTGACCAGGGTGTATATTGCTGCCTCTGTGGTCCTTTCGGCCAACGCACCATGTATTATAATTCTTATAGGAATATTGATGTAATCACCCTAACACAGCTAAACACATTAATAAACTAAATATTCTATTATTAAAAGTCAAAATATTATCATTATTAAATAAAAATAAGGAAACCGTTATAGGTACCCCTTAAAACCCCCGTTTATTATAGACACCCCTTTTCGCACCCTGTTTATTACAGGCACATTTTTTATTAATATCATACAAATGACCCGAGATTTTCAAGCTCTGGTATATAACCTTCCCTTAAGTAAAATAACAGAATTTTTTACGAATGTGTGCACTATAGAGAAACAAAAAAACGGCTCTGGGGCTCGTATAGCCTACAAAACCAAGGCGCAACTCGCATCAGGCTTGCAGCTAGCATCTGCGGCGCGTTTTACGAATACAGTATTAGGTAGAACAAAAAAATCGACCATAACCATCCACCTGACAGAAGGTTGGAAAACGTTACCGGGAAATCGCCGCCCTAGCCATGTCCAATCACAGAAGATAGCATAAATGCAGAAATCCTTCCTGCCAGAGCAATTCAGCGACAGATTGCTAAAGAGACCGGCACGGGTGTGAGGAAGAGGGAATCGTCACATGTTAAAGATCGGAACGTGAATGTGGAGCTACCTAACACCGGAAGATTGAAGTCGCCCGGTGTCGCTGCATGTCCAACTGCATCTCTCCGTGCTGTACGGTGGCGAACAGAAGCCGGTCACCGTGGAATTCCAAATGTCGAGCTCCTGCTGCCGGGGTCCAATCAGCGCGGTCCCGATGGCTTTTTCCAACATTGCTGCAATGATCTGTGCAATATCGCCCGCGAACATCGTATTCACAAAAACCGAAAGTCTTACAAGTGAGCAAATCACAAGGTTATAACGGCATGGAAGGAAGCCAGTAATGTCTGACCAACGCGAAAGATGACCTTCTGGTCACAGGGGGCGATTCGCTCTAATTCGCTCTGAGCTGGCTGATTTGCCGAATCGTCCTATCAATTATTATCGGCTTTAAAGCCTGATGCACTGAACTCGACGCTAGAGAAAAAATATTGTACAAAATTACTGAAAATTTAAATTATTATCTGAATAAAGCTGCATTATTAGTAATTTATTACCTATGAACACTGAATCTGTCAAATACCATATTAACCTAAAAAGGGTGCTTATAATAAACGGGGTGCGAAAAGGGGCCCAACGCCAAAACTTGATTTGAAAACCGATGGTGCTGACCATCGTTAGACGGTATTCTACCGTATTGCAACAGTAGTTTAACATTGCTTTCTGCGACTATGGTCCGAAAACAGCCGTAAAACGACAAATGGAAAATTTACGACTGTAGAACGATCGTTAGGCCTTCATCGTTTGTTACCACTGTAGCAAATTACGAGACCGGTAAAGCACCGGACTTCTGAACCGTAGTGCTAACCGATGGTAGTACGACTGTCCCTGGCGGATATGGTCGACAGCGCGGCAAAGACGTTGTTTGCTCCTAATAGAGGTTACCGCTTACCGCTATGTATTCCTCTCTCGGCTCTGCTAACTCGGGTCAAGCACACATCCGCTATCGCAACAATATTGTACGCGACCTGCATTGATCGAAGGCTGAAGTGCAAACCTGAGTTCAAATGTTTTAAGAAATGTGCATAGTCGCAAACAGAAATAAATTCAATTTTTACCATAATTACAACTTTTCCAAACCAGTTGTCCGGTATTGATGAAGAAAAGGGAACTACTTATAATTTCTTATGGACTCCATTGCACTAGACTGCGAAATAGTTTCTGTGGAGAACTCCAAGAAGGTAAGATTCAATATACGTAAAAAATGTTGCTATTATTAAGTTATCATTATTATTATTTTTGATTTATTACAAATGAAGGGATTTTCGCTTAGATTTATGTCTTGGTAGCCGCAGCCATTTGAAAATACTGCATGCATTTATGTTATTGTTGCTACAATTAGATGACGTATAATAGTAATATTATATATCAATAAATAAAAATTTTAAAGAGTAATTGAAAAAATGTACTAGGAAATTTTGTGATCTGACATAATTTAGTATGCTTTCATCTAGCACGGCAGTTGCGCCATCACTGACTCAATCATCAAGCCTACGCTTAAAGCTAATCACAAAGCACGATCAGTCGTGGTTGCATATTTGGACCATCCATAAATTACGTGCGCAACGAAAAGTGTGACGGTGCAACAGACTTTACATGGGAACGTCTTTACCAGCCCGGGGAGGAGAGATCCAACTCTTCACCGAACCTGCATACGAAATTTATGGCTGGTCTCCAACGCGCACTTTTGCAGCTTTGCGGAAGATAATTGTGCCGGTATTGTCAGTTTTCTTACCCGCAACGCATACCACATTGGTTTTTGCTATGCGTATTGAGGAACCCAAGTTCCATTGACTATAATGCAGGTTCATTTCACTCAGATGAACCGTC